GGTAAGTGTGGCAAATATTTGGTGTTCATTGCTTTATTCTTGCAATTTTTCTTTAAGTTTAGAATTTTAAAAAATAAAAAGCTGACTCCACCTTTTATTTTGAAAAGGTGGGAGGGCAGAGTCCACATGTATATGTGTTAAACTAGATCTCCCTTTAGAGTTTTATGCATACCAGTTATAGATATACTGAAGTACAATTTTTTATTTTAGTCTTTATAAGGGTAGAGCTAGAAAAACTGCCATATTGTGGTTACACAATAGAGTTTGATAACCTTGGATTAATGGATTTAAATCCAGTCCTTATATAGCTCAGTAAAACCTTCCATGGCCCTCCTCAATTTTCTCCATTTTCTTCAACTCTATTTATATCTTCACCTGTCTTCATGTAAATGGCTTTAAAATGGCAAGATCTAGCCAAAAACCAGTTTGATTCATCTAGCCAAAACCAGTTTGACTCAGTGGATAGAGCGTCAGTCTGTGGACTGAAAGGTCCCGGGTTCGATTCCAGTCAAGGGCATGTACATTGGTTGCAGGCACATCCCCAGTAGGGGGTATACAGGAGGCAGCTGATCGATGTTTTAGCTCTCTATCCTTCTCCTCTCTGTAAAAAATCAATAAAATATATTTTTAAAAAATGGCAAAATCTTTACACTAACTTTTAAAAATGACCAAAAATTATTGTAAAGATTGTGGCAGTGAGTGCCACCTTCCAAAATGCTTCAGTTGAGAAAGAAACCTCTGGAGGATTCAAGATGGCTGCTCGGGTAGACATCTAACCGCAGCAGCACACAACAAATTCAATGGAATACAGCTAAAATGTAGAGTGGACATCGCCCAGAGCTACAGGTAGTCGACTGACTGAAAATTCTACAACAAAAAGGAAAGAGAAAACCAGAAGGAAAATCAGAGGAGCTGAAAAAAAGCCTAAGGTACGGAGACATGCTGCGCGCCTGCACGCACGCGCTTGCAGAGAGGTCACAGCCGGAGAGGAGGAGAGGGCTGGGTGCTGCCTGGCGTTCCCTAGCAGGAAGAAAATAAAACCCCCAGCCTGGGCTAAACCCCCGAACCAGCAGCGCTGACCCCCAGTTATGAGCCAGACCCTGGGGACCCAGGCTCCGGCAGGGGCAGACTGGGCTGTGAGGCGGAATCCCAAGCGAGCAGCGAAAAGCAGGGCCCCCGGAGTCGCGCGCACATTGTGCGCAGAGGACTGAATGTTGACTCTGATGCTGGATTACCCTAGCCGGAAGAAACAAAGCCTCCGGTGGTGCTGAGCCTCAGTCCGGACTGCTCTGAACCCCAGTCCTAGGCCAGACCCTGGGGACCCAGGCTCAGGCAGGGGGAGATGGGGCTGTGAGGAGGAATCCCAGGGGAGCGGCGAAAAGCGGAGCCCCCAGAGTCGCGCACACTGCGCGCAGAGGACAGTCTGTTGACTCTGATCCTAGACTCCCCTAGCAGGAAGAAGAAAAAAAGCTCCAGACTGGAGGAACGCGACGAGGAGCAGGAGCCCCTGCCGGACACCGGCCAGCCGGGCACCAGCAAGGAGCCGGACGATGGGGCCCCCGGGGGGGCGGGGGGTGCCCCTGAGCCTTCGACCGCTGAGCTCGGGCAATGGAGCTGAGGCCGGTGGCTGCTTCCTGGGCGGCGCCAACCCCGGCAACAGGCTGAAGCAGCGCAGGAGCCCATGGAGAACAAAGGGGTGCCACAGGCCAACCTGCTGAGCTTCCAGGACAAGGAGGAAGAAACCAAAGAAGTTCTCAATGTGAAGAAATCAAGTGAGAGCAAAAGATAGTAAAATTACTTAAGAAAGAATACAAAGAAGATCTTGAAAAATCAAAGACTAAGTCAGAACTCAACTCAGCAGCCAACATTGCAACATAAATGTGTTTTTTTTTTAAATAAAAAAAAATAAAAAAAAATAAAAGGACAGAATATTGGAACAGCGGCGGCCAGGCCTAGAGTGGCCAGGCACAAGGCAGTGGCAGCCGGGCCCGGAGCAGCAACGGTCAGGCCCCAGAGCAGCAGCATCCAGAACCAGAAAATCAACAGCCAGCACTGGAGCAGCCAGACCTGGGGCAGTGGCAGCCAGGCCTGAGGCGGAGGCGGCCAAACCCAGGGTGGCCAGTCCAGGAACACCCAGACCCGGAGTGGCCGGGCCCGGAGAAGCTGGGCCCAGAGCAGCCAGGTTGGGAGCAGCCAGGCCCAGAGCAGCAGCTGCCAGGCTGGAAGCGACCAGGCCCGGAGCAGCCGGGTCTGGTGCGGCCAGGCCCGGAGCAGCGGCTGCCAGGCTGGGAGCGGCCAGGCCCGGAACAGCCGGGTCTGGTGTGGCCAGGCCTGGAGCAGCGGCTGCCAAGCTGGGAGAGGCCAGGCCTGGAGCAGCTGGGTCTGGTGAGGCCAGGCCCGGAGCAGCGGCTGCCAGGCTGGGAGCGGCCAGGCCCAAAGCAGCAGCTGCCAGGCTGGGAGCGGCCAGGCCCGGAGCAGCCGGGTCTGGTGTGGCCAGGCCTGAAGCAGCGGTTGCCAGGATGGGAGCGGCCAGGCCGGAGTGGCCGGGCCCGGAGCAGCCGGGCCCAGAGCAGCCGGGTCAGGTGCAGCCAGGCCCAGAGCAGCAGCAGCCAAGTCCAGAGCAACTAGGTCGGGAGCGGCAGTGACCAGACCCGGAGCAGCTGGTTGTGGAACGAACCAGAGCAACAGAGGCCAGGCCCAGAGCAGCCAGGCCCGGAATAGCTCGCTCCTCGCCTGCCCCTGCCCCACGGCTGCCTCTCAGACATGGCTAGAAACTTTTGTGGGAACTTGAGGGTCTGCTGAATCAAGTGATGAAGGCTTAGATCTGGATGTGTTGAGTTAGTATAGCGCTGGGGTGTTGATCTGTGAGTGCCTTGGGTGGGGCCTGGATGAGGCTGGTTGACCTATTTGGAAATGTCTTTTGTGTGAAGTGTATCATTGGGCATGTGGAGGTATTATTGATATGAGAAAATGCTAAGTAACTGATTTACTATCTGAAAAGGGATTTACTATCGGGGAAAGGGAGGAAGAGACTGAACATAAACTGTGCACCTATGGATGAGGACAATGGGGGATGGGGAGGGGGCGGAGGGTGGGGTGAGAACCTGGTGGAGGGGGGAAGAAATGAGGAACCTTTGTAATAATATGAACAATAAACATTGATTTAAAAAAAAAAATGCTTCAGTTGACACTGCCTATATTTAAGCACAATCTAACCTCTAATTTCCTCCCACAATTGAATAATAAAGAGTGTTCACAATTGAACACTACTGTTTCTATCCAGCTCATGGCAATTCTTTTTTTTTTTTTTGGCAATTCTTTTTAAATACTTAAATTATAAATGGAGGAACAGCATGTATTATAGTGTGTATTTACTAAATAATAAATTATATTAATGAGTAATAAATGAGTTAAAGATCTGAAACACATACCTTAACATATTTTTGCTTATTAATAGCTTATAAAGACACTGCTTTATTATTACTATTATTATTATTTAATCCTCACCCAAGAATGTGTTTTCTGTTGATTTTTAGAGAGTGGAAGGGAGATAGAGAAACATCAATCTGTGAGAGAAATATCGATCAATTGCCTGCCATACTCACCCCATGTCGACCACACATAGAGCCCTCAACCTGGGCATTTGCCCTAACCAGGAATTGAACCTGCTAGCCTTCCTTGTATGGGATGATGTTCCAAACAACTAAGCCATACGGGTCAGGGCAAGACAGTGCTTTGAATGTATAGGTACCACAAAATGAACTAATGAACTTAAAATAATGTGAGGATCTTAAGGTGGCATACAATATTCCCTGAATGATGAGAATACATGATACTTCTATAGGATGTCACTACCAACATAAAGCATATTCTTTTAAGGTTTTGTTACTGTCTTTCCATGTCATACTGACAAATTTGTACTACCTAATTCCATGATTCCTCTCCTCTGGTGAATATTGGCTTACAATTGCTAGATGGGTTTAGAATTGTCAGCTGAGGCTACTAAAGAGCAAAACTAAACTAGGTGGCTCACAAGGGGAAATAATCTGATTTTTAGCATCATTTGCAGAATAAATGTCCTCACAAACTCCGGGTGAGCAAAGAAGCATTTACTGTTGACTTTGGGAAGGATATCTAATTTTAGATCTCAAGTAAGTAGAAATTTTTTTTCTCAACTATAAAAGCGTGTGCTTGTACACTGATATGCAAAACTTGTATTTAGATCTTTAACTCCTTTATTATTCATGAATGCTATTGAGTAAGCATAAACAAATGTGGTGAGCACAGCATTCATTATAAATACATTGCAGGGTTGCAGGCAATGGGGTTCTGGATTTTGACTGTGGATTTTCACTGAATTTTGGATTATAGAGCTTTCTTACATTAAAATCACTTCAACAATTGTGACCTAAACCAGAGTTTAGCCCTTGATTATTTCCTCTTAAGACACTGGAAATCCTGCACAGCATTTAACAGTAGTGTTAAATGTAAAGACAATTCCCAACAATTAGGCGTTAATCGTTGATTTCAACCTATGAGTGATGATTACAACCTAAAGACTCAAGTGAGACTAAATGGTGAAGAAACCAATGAAAATACGTCACTTTTCTGATTCAGTATTTTCATTGGTTTCTTCACCATTTAGTTTCACTTGAGTCTTTAGGGTAAGACTAAATGGTTGGTTGGCCACTCTCATGCTCATTCTCAGAAAATGTCCAGCTTTGAACATTACAGGCAGATGCATAGGAACCACATCACCAGACTGAGGTCCACCTTTTTATCGTATTTATTTTTGTCAGTTCATGGCACAATAATTTTGAAATAAAGGTAAAAATACATGTATCATATAAAATATGATACACAAATATAGAAAATTAAGAATCAGTATTTCCAGTCTCAGACTTTAGGTTGGTCTTCTGAATTAATGAGAAAACGTTTTCCTGAATATTGGTGATATCTTGCTGCACCAGAAGGATTGTATTTAAAAGTTACATGAGTATGTCTTCTCATTGAGCTCTTTCTTTGTCGCTCTGTGGCAGTTATAGATTCGCACGAGAAGAGAAAATTCACAGAGCTAGCATTGTTTTGCCTCCTGTCTTCAGAGGTATATGCTGCTGTTTTGTGAGACATTTTTTTGGGGGAAAATGGGGGGTGAGGGGGAGTTACATGAGTAGAAACGTTTTTACCAATGGGCCTGGGTTAAGACTGCAGTTGAAAATCTCTAGACCTTCAAGAATCATGCAGTTTATTTGAACAGCAAGTGTTGTGTTGATCTCACTTTCAGTAAATGAACATGCATGACGAATAAGCAATTAAAACTCAAGTCTTTAAAGACAGACCTCTATAGACCAGAACCAAAACCTCTCGTCCCCAAACAGCATGAAGCTGCATGTGTCAGGAGCATGCACTTAAATGTCTTCATTGTAAGGAAACATGACTCCTCCTTAGCTGTCATCCAAAAAAGTTTTAAAATGACTTTATCAGGCATTCCTCACCACGGTGATAATGAAGAGCATTGTTTGAAAGAAAGCTAGAGGAGACCTGAGACAACAACAGGGGAGGAACAGAGTTGGCTGCTCCAGAGACGCTTGCAGAGGCCGCCGCACGTCCTCGCTCGCCCCGCGCAGGGCGGTGACCCGGGCTTCCGGGGACGCGCAGGGCGGCCGACTTTCCCAAGGACTGTCACGCTTTTACCATCTGAATGGGCTTTAAGTGCTCGGGCTAAAAGCCGGGTAGCCCTTCATTGTCACATTCAACACCCTTTTCCCATCGCTATGTCATCGGGCGGAATCACCCGACCCGCCTCCGGTGCAGAGTGGGGGTGCCCCTGCCTCTTCGACCCCGGGCGCCGCGAAGGACGAGCTCGGCGCAAGGACTCCCGGGGGGAAAGCCGGGCCACCTGCACGCGGCGCGCCTCCGGCTTCCGCCTCCCGTCCGGCCCGGCCCGGCGCATCCGCTTCAGGGACGCGGAAACCCCGTAGGAGCAGGGTGGGAGGGGAACGCGGTCGGTCAACCGCTTGCTGCAATATTCTTCCGCCTCCAAAGCAAAGAGTGCCAACCACCCCGCGGCGTCCGGCGCCATCCAGAGACCCTGGAATGTCTTGCAACCGTCCACTGGGATTCCCCCGCAGACTCGCCTGGGATATTTTCGGAGGTCAGGCTCCCAGGATCACAATTTTGTGGCTAAGCCGAAGCGCGGCAGGGAAATTCCTCCGCAGGAGAAACGGGTTCCGGCCGCGAGCCTATAAAAAACGGGCGGCGCGGGCCCGCTGTCTTTCCAGTCGGGCGCTGAGCGGCTCTTCGGAACATGTCTGGTGGCTCCGCGGACTATAACAGGTACAGCGCCTTCCCGCGGGGCCGGGCATGCCACGCCATGGGGGGGTGGTAGAGGCTGGTGTGTGGAGGCAGGGGACTCGGGGCTCCTAGGTGTTTTGCCTGGGGTACGCTACGCCTGTGTCCTTCGAGAAGCTTCCATGATGGGCAGGGCCACGGGCTGCAGGGAAAACATGTACAGAGATGGAGTGGTTGCGGTGGCTTTTCCCCGAGACCCTTTTGAGTTTCCGGCGCCTCCCGTGCCTGCACGGAGCTGGCATTTGGGGAAATCCGTGGCGCAGGCCGCGTTCCGTGCAGGGTAATCGGGCCTGAAGCTTTACATGCGGCCACGGGCGCGGGTGGAGGGAATTGGGGCGGAGGGTTGGGGAGGCCACTGGACACGACCGGGAGGTGCGCCGGGGCCGGGCCGGCGAGCCGTTGGCTTAGCCCAGGCCAGGGTCTGCCCGCGTCAATCACTCGGCTTGCGCATTGTAAGGGGCGGAGCTCGGCATGGGGAGCTCTCGCGAGACGGCCGGCCGTCGAGACTTGGGGGAGCGCGGGGCTTGGGGGAATGGCCGGCCGCCGGGAGCTTTTCCGGTCGTCCGCGCTCTCAGCCTTCCCGGCAAGCACACGGGAGATAAATTGTGTGCCCTGCCCCGCCAGCTTCCTTTGCTCTTTCAGTAGGAAATGACCTTTTTTTTGGGGGGGGAGATATCCGGAAGGGAGAGGTAGTGAAGAACTGCCCCCCTCCCTGATGTGCAGATTGGGGGGGGGGGGGTTGGAGATGTTCTCTAACTGCAGCCTTTCTGTCTGCAGAGAACATGGCGGCCCAGAGGGAATGGAACCCGATGGTGTCATCGAGGTAAGAAATGGGTGTGGATTTTGAGACTGTGGAAAGGTGAGGTTGGCCATCCTACTTATTCCGTTTTAAATTTTTATTTCTTATAGAGCAACTGGAATGAGATTGTTGATAACTTTGATGATATGAATTTAAAGGAGTCTCTTCTCCGGGGCATCTATGCTTATGGTTTTGAGAAGCCTTCAGCTATTCAGCAGAGAGCTATTATTCCTTGTATTAAAGGTAAAAAGAATTCGTTGGCAGTTAGTGACAGTGAAACATTGTTTTACGTAGACCTGGATTATAAAAGGGAAAATAGTCTGGGGGACTAGTACCTACTTGTATTCCTTAAAAGTGAAATGATGGCAAACATCTTTCGGGACTGACCTGAAATGAAGAGAATATTCATTGCTGATCACTTGATTATTTGGGCATATTTCATGTTCCAAATGGAATACATAGTGTAAACTACAGGTGACGGTTTGATGTGGGATCGGTAAATATGTATCCTACTTTTTTTAGGGTATGATGTGATTGCTCAAGCTCAGTCAGGTACTGGCAAGACAGCCACATTTGCTATTTCCATCCTGCAACAGTTGGAGATTGAGTTCAAGGAGACCCAAGCACTAGTATTGGCCCCCACCAGAGAACTGGCACAACAGGTATTGATAGTGTAGTTAAAACCGCTTGCGTGTTGCATAGGTTTCAGGTTTCACAACTGAAGAATTCAAAACAGTATAAATTGGTCCTATCAGAAACTTCCTTTTAACTGTCCATGCATGCAGGGAGTTTTTAAAAAGTTAAATAGGAACTGGGTGTGCAAGTATGGTTTTATAGGGTTATATAACACGGAGAAACTAAAGCTTTCTGTTCAGGGTGGACTAGATCTGGTCTCATTTTTAAGTTTGAATGCAGTTGTGCAACATGAAAACTGCAGTGACAATGTTATTAGTTTGTGATGCATCTTTTTGCATGATATGTTTTCAAGACTCACTGCTGATAAAGACTGAAGTACACATTGCTAATAAAACTAGGCTTTATTGAGGTAAATGTCACTGCCCTGTGGGAAAAATTAAAGTAGCAACGATTTGTTGTAGCTGTAATTGCAGAGCGTGGTCCACTATTTATGGTTCCCTACACAATGAAGAATAAAGGACATATTTTTAGTTCTTAATCTAGCAGGTACCTGGGACAATAGGATCCCAAGTTTGACAAGGCCCAGAACATTGCAAGGCAATTTTACCTCTAAGCAGTTAGATCAGTCTTCATTTTGAACTTTGAAGTAGTAAAGTGCTATGCATGCATAAAAGCTGTGTGTAGATCAGATATTTGCCATTATGCTTTGGAAGTTAGTCACAATCTGTAGTTCTGTTGGATAATAATTAAGGCTTTTGCCTTTTAGATCCAAAAGGTAATTCTGGCACTTGGAGACTACATGGGAGCAACTTGTCATGCCTGCATTGGTGGAACTAATGTTCGCAATGAAATGCAAAAACTGCAGGCCGAAGCACCACATATTGTTGTTGGTACACCAGGGAGAGTGTTTGATATGCTAAACAGAAGATATCTTTGTAAGTATTGTGTCAATTGAGCAAAGATTTTTTTTTTTTTTTTTTTACTATAATTGAGAATTTAGGGATGATAGTATGATTTTATTTTTAACAGCTCCAAAATGGATCAAAATGTTTGTTTTGGATGAAGCAGATGAAATGTTGAGCCGGGGATTTAAGGATCAAATCTATGAGATTTTCCAAAAATTAAATACAAGTATTCAGGTGAGCTTTATTTCATCCCCTACTATAGCTGGAGGTCAGGTTTTAATGCAGGAACAGTTACAATACAACTGAAGTGTTTTATTGTCGTTCCCCCTGCTTAAAGCAATTGATGCATAACTATCTCTGTCTAGCACAATTCCATAGCTAGACAGAGACGCTTGGCCTCAAACATAGTTTTTTCAGTATTGTAAAAGTTCAGCTAACTACTTGTATGATAACAGTTTACTATTTTTTTAAGGTTGTGTTGCTTTCTGCCACAATGCCAACTGATGTGTTGGAGGTGACCAAAAAATTTATGAGAGATCCAATTCGAATTCTGGTGAAAAAGGAAGAATTGACCCTTGAAGGAATCAAACAGTTTTATATCAATGTTGAAAGAGAGGTAACTTGTCTAATTACTAAACAAAAAAAGTAGCCAGATATTTGACCTTCTTGTATAAGCACTGTGCTAAAATTGCAGAAACTAGGATTTTATCTTGGTATTTGTAATAATGCTAGCAGAGTACACACAAGAAGAAAAGTAACTGCACTAGATGATAAAGACTGGGGTGGACCTCTTTCTTAATGTCCAGTGTCCTTTGTCTTAAAATTTGGTGCAACATGTCTTCTGATCACCTTAACAGCGAATTTTTAATTATAAGTTGGAAACCATTTTAATGACAATTTTTTCTTTGAAATATTGTAGGAATGGAAGTTGGACACACTTTGTGACTTGTATGAGACACTGACGATTACACAAGCTGTTATTTTTCTCAATACACGGCGCAAAGTGGACTGGCTCACTGAGAAAATGCATGCCAGGGACTTCACAGTTTCTGCTCTGGTAAGAGGTGTTCTGCTCTAGTAGTGTTAATTAAAATGTCTTCTCATATTAAAGCAGGATTTAGACTACAATATAGCTGTTAAGTGCTGTGTTGTCGTTCCCCCTGCTCAAAATAAAGTTGTTTCTTAACTATACCTGTCTGCTAGACTACTGTAGCAGCCAGGGACGCTTGGTCTCATACATAATTGTTAAAATTAAATATTGACTGACTGGTGATTCTTGAATGAAGGTTTGTTAATTTGCAGCATGGTGACATGGACCAGAAGGAAAGAGATGTTATCATGAGGGAATTCCGATCAGGGTCAAGCCGTGTTCTGATCACTACTGACTTGTTGGTAAGTAAATCAACTGCTCTTTTGATCTACCAAAAGTTTTATTTTGGGTGAAGGTTTTTTAGTAACCTTTACCAATTAGGCTCTTTGGGAGAATAAAGACCACACTCCACAGTGGGCTATATCACTAACATATAGCCCATTACTATTTTGTGGCCTACATTACATAAGTCTCGAGTTTATCAATTAGAATTTTAATACCATACCATTGTATTTCAGGCTCGTGGGATTGATGTGCAACAAGTGTCATTGGTTATAAACTATGATCTACCTACCAATCGTGAAAACTATATTCACAGGTGAGTAGATGGCACCTTGTTACTGTATTGGTAAAATAAGCTCATGTATTTTTCTGATGGAAGTTACCTTCCAGATAAATCAAAGTCTCAGGGTATTGATTCAGTAGACAGTGTCAAATTGGTAGGATGAAAAATTGTACTTGGGAACATTGGTCATGCAGTGGGAAAACAATTGGCCCAAATTGTGACTTTCATACCTATGGATTAGATTGTTTTAGTGTAGATTTGTTGGTCTTAGCTTACTTTTGAGCTTTATTTTTTGTGATGCTCTTGTGCTTTCTGGATTATAGTTGGGATTTTCTTGGTGTCGTCTGGTAGCAATTTGAGCGGTCCCTGGTTTACTTATAGTGGCTTTATCCCTAAATAAATTGAATTGTACTTTGTTATATGATGTAAAAAAAAGACTTTTTAAAAACAGGAGTCGATAGCAGCAGTTGATGACGAGATGGCACTCAGAAACGGCGTTGACGTAATTTAGGACGTGGAATCATAAGCGAAACAGCACACTGTTTGAATAAAGAGCGAGTCGGTATTTATATTTGTTTTTCTTTTGTCAATGATTATTTTATATTTTAAGTTGCTCCAGCCAAGGCATTTTTGTATATTAGCCTATTAGGAGGTTTTATATTGTCCGGTTTTTATCGGGAAGGTAGACAGTTGCTTTGGAGGTAAACACGTTTGAGTAATTTGAGTTATAACGTGTGAAACAGCAAAAAGCAGTGATGAGTTTGGGTTACCATACCAAATACTTGTTTTCCCACTGAAAAAAGTTGTGAGTTTAGACAATAGTTAACCATGCAGCATTTGTATTTACAGTTTACAGTTCCAGAAGTGCGCCGATATGGATTATATAACTGTTCTTTTTGCTTCGTCCGGTGTGTTTACTTATGTCCCAGGCTGACTTCTGCTCTTGGCTGGCCCACTTTGGTATGGGCTTTTTTTTAAATTTCACTACCCCAAACACAATACTGTCATCTGCCTTAAAAATAATGATGCTCAAGGCTCATTTTGCAGCCAGACAAGCTTTGAATCCTTATGGCACTAACTGCAAAGGAAGGTTTCTTTTCCCTCTAGATATTGATTAGCAGATAGTGCTCCAATTAGAAGCACGAACTATAACCTTGATAAGTAAACACAGCAGCTGATGGTTAACAAGTGGATCATCATGTTCAGTAACTCATGCATTCTGTTAGAAGTAACATTCTAATTGCTATTTTCTTTTCTTACACAGAATTGGCAGAGGGGGTCGATTTGGGAGGAAAGGTGTGGCTATAAACTTTGTTACTGAAGAAGACAAGAGGATTCTTCGTGACATTGAGACTTTCTACAATACTACAGTGGAGGAAATGCCCATGAATGTGGCTGACCTTATTTAATTCCCGGGATGAGATAGTTTTGAATGCAGTGCTCGCTGTTGCTGACTAGGTGATCACAACGTGCATTGTGCTTCTTTCTTTGGGAATATTTGAATCTTGTCTCAATGCTCATAACGGATCAGAAATACAGATTTTGATAGCAAAGCGACTTTAGTCGTGAGCTCTTGTGAGGAGAGTCATTGGCTTTATCCTCTAGAGTTAGACTGTTGGGGTTGGGTACAAAAGATGGGGTCTGTAAAATCTTTTTTTCTTAGAAATTTATTTCCTAGTTATGTAGAAATGGTTGTATTAGATGTTCTCTATCATTTAATAATATACTTGTGGACTAAAAGATATAAGTGCTGTATAAAATCAGCCAATTATGTTAAATTAGCTTATCTGCCTTTATTGTGTTTGTCATTAGCCTGAATAGAAGGCCTTTAAAATTGATTTTATTTTTTTTTAGGAAGCATTTGAATGCATTTTGTTTGGTATTGTATTTATTCAATAAAGTATTTAATTAGTGCTAAGTGTGAACTGGACCCTGTTGCTAAGCCCCAGCAAGCAATCATATCCTAGGTAGGGTTAAACCCCCAGTAAAATTGCCATATTGCACATGTCTTAATGAAGTTTGAATGTTAAATAAATTGTATATTCACTTTAAAGGTTCTTTCATTATTTTATTGTAAAATGGTATGAATTGAACGTTGTTTTAACAATTCTGGGTTAACTGTTGCATCACAGTAGCACAGAGGCTAATCAATTGTAGATGTTCATCAGCACCATCTGCTAAGCACTTGTCTACATCCTACAAGAAAAAGAAAGGGTTATTAAATAATTGTCCCTTTTAGGTATATAAGTATTTTTGCTGAAATGTGCAAAGATGCCTACTTACAGCAAGTTTTTCTGTAATGATGGACTTTTGTTTATCAGAAAGAGCATCATTTTCTACAACTACATCATGAAGCTGGTTTACAAGCTGAGTTGCTGCATGACCTTCATTTATCAAGTCCTGTAACAAAAATTACATGGTGTCAACATTTAATTTTCTCTTCCCCAAAGTTAGTAAAGTAACTTAAACCCTTACCTTTACCACAGCTTCTAGCTTGTCAAAAGAGCCACTCTGACATGCAGCAAATATTCCATCAACAGTCTTTACTGGTATTACCTAAAAAGATATTTTCTGGTGAGATGGTGGTTTGGACATTATTCTGCCAAGCCTGTGCTCGCTCCTTCCATGCTTGGTTGGTTCACCTAACAAATGACAAAGCTGATAGTTGCTATCCTGATAAGTCAATCCAGAGTTGAGAACTGGAAAAGGGTCTTTAAGCTTTATGCTCAACTCTGAGCAGAGAGGTAATACAGAAAAAGGTATTGGACCTAAAATTTAAAAATGCTTTCAAGGGCCTGGACCAGTTTGGCTCAATGGATAGAACATCGGCTTGGGTCCCGGGTTCGATTCTGGTCAAGGGCATGTACCTTGGTTGCAGGCATATCCCTAGTAAGGGGTGTGTAAGAGGCAGCTGATCAATGACACACTCATCAATGTTTCTATCTCCCTCTCTGTATAAAATCAATAAAATATATTTAAAAAAAAAATACTTTCAAGGTGCTATGCCAATACATTAGTCCAGTCACTACAATGCAATAAGGGTGGTACATAACTTGCTTTTTGTACAGAGGAAGGGAGAGAGAAACATCAATGAGAGAGTGTCATCGATCAGATGCCTCTTGCACGCCCCCTACTGGGGATATACCCGCAACCAAGGTTCATGCCCTTGACCGGAATCGAACCCGGGACCTTTCAGTCCCCAAGCCGATGCTCTATCCATTGAGCCAAACCGGTTTCGGCACATAACTTGCTTTTAAAATCCTTTGAAAACATTCTCAGATTTGGACTTAATGGCTTTAATAGTGGCCAATATCTTAGTGGCTGTCTTTCCTCAAAGCAGTTCTCTAAAGAGATTGGTTTAACCCCTAATACCTAGAAAAAAAGGGACTAATGCTGTTTGTGGTATGAAAATTCAATAAAGCCTGAAAGGAATATTTGAAGACCTGTGTGGCCCTCTAACAAGATTTCTCAAAGTTGAAAAATGCATGTGCCTTGTTTATTATATGACCCTTTGTCAAAACAGACTACATTTATAAGAAAAGACATCAGAGGGGTGATGTTGGAGGTATGGGACATTAAATATCTGTTAACTAAGTATTCCTAGCACAGTACTTGGCACATGCTATAGACTAAGTGTAACCTCCCTCCCCAATTCATGTTAAAAAAAAATCCCTGAAGTATTTGGAGGTAGGCCTTTGGGAGGCCATGGGGTCATGGGATTAGTGTCCCAGAGAGCTCCCTTTTGCCATAGGAAGATGCAGGCCATCTATGAATTGGGAGTCTTAAGAACTAGAAAGTGGGTCTTCACCACCCAATCTGGGCACCGTGACCTTGGACTTCCCAGACTCCAGAGCTAATACCTGAATTTCTGTAGTTTGTAAACCACTCATTCTGGTATTTTGTTAAAACAGCCTGAGTGGATTAAGCACATACAAAGCATTCTATATATACTTGGGTGAAAACTTCCTAAAAGAATTTCAGAATAACATACTCTTACCCCAGCAATGTCTGTGATCACTTTATCTGTGATCTCCTTCCCACCTGTTAATCTAGTAGCACTTTGAAGAAATGTAATGGCTTTTCTTAAATCTCCTTCTGATACTTTAACAAGACAAGACAGCCCCTGAAAAGAAAAAAAAAGTTCTTTTGGTATGTGTTTTTACCTATGATGACCAATTAAGGTTTTTTGATCTTAATAAAGTGAAAAGCACTATATTTTAGCCAAGAGTTACTGAGGAGAAATGAAACTTATTTCCATTTTTGAGGGAATATATTAGTCCTATAGTGGCAGAATTCATGGAGACAGCCTCAGTCCAATGGAAGGATAGAGATCTCTTGCCTTTGAAAGTAAGTGGCAGAAACGTTCCATACTTCTCCTCCTATTTTCTTGATTACATAAAGGAAATACAAATTATGGTTAAATTGTTATAATGAATAAAAGGCCTATATATTCTATCACTGTATCAGAATTTCATACCAAATAAGTTTTTGGAGTTATTAACTAGGAGACTAAAATCTTATGATAGAGATTTGTTGCTGCAGAATTTGCATTATATGCATGAAATTTGCTCTAGTTTGGGGTCTCTAATATACTGAGCCTATCTAATAAAAGAGTAATATGCAAATTGGCTGTCACTCCAACACAAAGATGGCTGTCCCCATGTAGACACAAGATGGCCGGCAGGGAAGGCACTTGGGAAAGGCTAGGCCTGCAAGGGAGGGCAGTTAGGGATGACCAGGCCTGCAGGGGAGGGCAGTTGGGGGCAACCAGGCTGGCAGGGGAGTGGTTATGGGGAGATCAGGTTGGCAGGCAGAAGTATTTAGGGGCAGTCAGGCAGGCAGGCAAGTGGTTGGGAACCAGCAGTCCTGGATTGTGAGAGATCCCAGATTAGAGAGGGTGCAGGCTGGGCTAAGGGACAATCCCGCCCCCAACATGCTTACACATGAATTTCACACACTGGGCCTCTAGTAGATTATAAACTGCTAATAGTAACAGAAAGATTAAATCTGTAATTCCTAGACATTCCAACTGTTGTTCATTTAGCTTAACTTTGCCTGAAGAATTGTTGGCATCAGAAATTGAAGCAACACACATGACTCCTTTCAGGGCCTCTTCATATGTATTCATCAATGTAATTAGTAATTATAAGAACTAATAATTAGTACTTACCTCATTGCTAATTTTAACATGTTCTTTATCAGCAATGTCTAGTAATCGTTGTTGTTGAATTTTATCTGACAGAGGTTTGAAGCGGAATTTAGAACATCTAGAGGTCAGAGGTTCAATTATTCTGTAAAATATTGGAAAAAAAACAAGTCAGTGGCTAAAGAAGGATTTCCCCCAAAGAACTCATTTTTATCAAGATTTGATGAAGATATTAATGTAGCCTTGAGACATTGAAAAAAAAAATTTTTTTTTCTCTCCTTAACTGAGGGTTAGCAAAATAAAGCTGCTAGTATCTATCTATCTTCAAGGCAATATACATACCGACTGACATAGTTACAGATGAGACAGAAGCGGGTGGTTTTAGATTCTTTCTCCATGGTACGTCTTAATGCTGCCTGAGCAGCTGAGGTCATAGAATCTGCTTCATCCAGAATCACAATCTTAAAAGGAGGACATGGCTTCCCACTGATTCAGAGAAAAACATAGGAGTGATAAATCACCTATCATCATTACAATCTAATTTTATATCGATATAACATACTCATCCTCCCAAAGAAAAGCCTCATGCCCAAGAGGAGTTACTCCTCTTCTTTCCCAACTCTTTCAGCCACAGGCAATCATGATCTCTACTTTCTGTCTCCAAATTTGTGTATTTTGGACATCTATCTATATAAAAGCCTAAGTGACTGTCTGACCAGTAGCTCTGACCTGCATTGATCACCAGAGGGAAAACGCTCAACGTAGGAGCTGCCGAGCTATGGTGATTTGGCAGCTGTGGTTCTTGGGTGATACACCTGGAACCAGAGAGGAGAAAGACCAATTCCCAGGTCCCTTACCCGAGAACCATGCTCTTGCGATCCAGGAGCTCTCAGGGGATGTCAGAGAGCCGGTTTTAGCCTGAGCCCTACAGGCTAGGCTGAGAGACCTCACCAGTACTGGAATCTGTGCACCTTGCCTCATAAATGGAATCATACGATGTCAATCTAACATGTTGTCTTTTATGATTGACTTCTTTCACTTAGCATGATATTTTCAAGGTTCATCCCTATTGCAGTGCTATTACTTCATTCCTTTTAAATAATATGGCAAATGGATATACTGCATTTTATTTGTCCATTCATTTGTTGATGGGTATTTGGGTCGTTTTCATGTTCTGACCGTTATGAATAATGCTGTTAAGAACATTTGTGTACATATTTTGAATAGAAATGTTTTATTTCTTGTGGGCATATATCTAGGAGTAGAATTACTGGATCATGTGGTAAATCTATGTTTAACTTTTAGCCAAACTTTTCAAAGTGCTGAATCTTTTCACATTACAACCAGCAATGTATAAAGATTCCAATTTCTTCACATCCTTGCCACTATGTTCTGTATTTTTTAAAAAAAATATATTTTATTGATTTTTTACAGAGAGGAAGGGAGTGAGAGAGAGTTAGAAACATTGATGAGAGAGGGTCATCTATCAGCTGCCTCTTGCACACCCCCTACTGGGGATATGCCCGCAACCAAGGTACATGCCCTTGACCGGAATCGAACCTGAGACCTTTCAGTCCCCAAGCCGACGCTCTATCCATTGAGCAAAACCGGTTTCGGCTGTTCTGTATTTTTTATTATAGCCATCCTAGTGAGTGTAAAGTGACATCTCATCATGGTTTTGAATGGCATTTCTCTAATGGCTAATGATGTGAATGATGTTTTCATTTGTTTATTAGCCATTTGAGTATCTTTTTTGAGTAATATCAATTCATATACCTTGCCCATTTTAAAATTAGATTGTCTTTTTATTATTGAGTTGTACGAGTTTTTCATATATTCTTGATATAAGTGCCTTATCAGATATGATCTATATGCATTGTGAATTCAAGGTGGATATCAAAAATTGTCCTTTACTTCCTATAAATTCTTACGTGTGCTCTGATATAAATTTAAATATATGTCAGTGAGTGAGGTCAGGAATCAAAAAATTTAATCTTGAAACTGCACCTGAGGAGTATAGGTAGTTGGCTAAACATCCCTGTTTAATTTAGGGCAGTCCTATTTAATTATTAATAATACCTCCTCTTTTATTCTGAAAGCATCACAGTTTGGATAAGAACTTATATGGTCACCCTACTATGAAATACACACTGAAGCCTAAGATAGTTGACTTTTTTAAAATAACGCAATAGCAAAAGTCAGGATTTTTGTTATGCATGCACCACCCAACTATCACATTTGATTAATAAATACTTCTTAGACAAATATCAGTGGAAAACCCTTGACAACTAAGCAAAATTAATTATAATGGAAAGTTTATTTCTGGCTTTAAATAATTTAGATAAAAATATGATCTAACATGAAAAAAGTTGTAAATTTGGCAGAAATATGTATTTTAAACAAATACAACGACATGGTATAGAGAAACTTACTCTGAACGACTTCCTGATACAGTTAATTGAGCAAAATTCTTCACTTTCTCTCTAACTACTTGTATTCCACGTTCATCAGATGCATTTAACTCAAGAACTCTTAATCGAAAAAGTTCATGCCTACATAAAAATGAAGCAAATATGAAAGGTCATAGAGCATGTAAGTAACTGAGGTTTAACCACATTTTAACATTTGCACATCTTGCAGTAGTTTAAAATCCACCTACTAAACAATATGGATAAAAGGTACACAATTACTTCTGTATTTTCTCTTTTGCAGAGACATGCAGTTAACATTTTGGCTTTCTTCCATGCTTTTTAAAAAATATAGGTAAATGATATCACATAATATATAAAATTTTAAATCAATTTTCCACTTTGTATTGTATCATAATCATCTTGCCATCTTGCAACCAATCAAAATACCATTTTTATAGCTATGTGAAGCTCCCGAAATGCCATTTTAATAGCTATGTGACATTTCATCCTATGATTGTACCACCATTTACTTATTTAGCATCCTTCTATTGTTAGACGCTTAGTTTTAAGTATGTTGAAATTTTAAATAATGCTGCAATACAGTATATTTTGAATTATTTCCTTCAGGTAGCTTGCTATAAGGAAAATTACTAGATTAAAACATGAATAGTTATTTTAAAATGAGTTTTTTTATTTATTATATTTTTATTGATATCAGGGAGTTAGGGGGAGAGAGAGAGAAACAACAATGATGAGAGAGAACCATGGATTGGCTGCCTTCTGCATGCCCCCACTGGGGACTGAGCCCCCAACCCGGGCATGTGCACTTCACTGGAATCGAACCCAGGACCCTTCAGTCTGCAGGCTGGCATTCTATCCAATGAACCAAACTGGCTAGAGCTTAAAGTAAGTTTTTAAGAAATTAAAAGTAGTTCACTGTAGAAATCAAAAGATAATTAAAGCAACTGGCACACCCAAAGCACTATTTTGAAAGGTTCCTTCTAGTAATTTTTCTACATATTTTTAATAAAAAAAACACACACCAAGATTTAAATTTGTTTTATTTTTCCTAAATATTTTCCCAAAAAGGTATCTTTGCTATACTGAAGCATGTTGATGGGTATCAGACCCAGACTAAAATCTTTTCTAGGTAGAGAGCTCCTAAACAATGGTTGGCTAAGCCAAGACAGAATTTAAGAAGAGGACTCTAGGAAGTTAGCTCAGAAATTTTCTGCTATACTTAGAATCATTCTGTATCGTCAACCATATACTCTGCTTACACTTAGGATGCCTGAGGGTAAGGATCTGGCCCAGCCACTCCAGAGGCAGGGCCTAACAAAGCCAGTGCAAGAAGGAACTAAAGAAGTGGTATGGGTCAGTAGCATCGGACACAACAGACTTGATCATACGAAACATGTTAATGCAATAATTAAGAGAGTGTGATGAAATTATCAGTGTGACTGGAGACAGGCTGGGTTTTCTGAGCCCAAAATCATAATAAATAGTGATAAGCCCTTGCCACTTTAGCTCAGTGGAGGGAGCGCAGGAGACAGCCGATAGATGATTTTCTCTTTGTTGATGTTTCTTTCCCTCTCCCTTCCTCTGTGAATACATATATGTAAAAAATCATGCCCTGGCTGGGTATCTCAGTTGGTAAGAGCACCATCCCATTCACCAAAAGGCTGTGGGCTCAATAACCTAGGTTGCAAGTTCGATCCCTGGTCAGAGAGCATACGGGAGGCAAGTGATCTATGTTTCTCTCATCTCTCTCTCTCTTCCCCTTCCTCTCTTTAAAAATCAACGAAATCATATTCTTAGATAAGAATTAAAAATATATATATATATGTGTGTGTGTGTGTGTGTGTGTTATGGGGCTCCCTGTGTGTAATATATTCAAACATTGAATAAGGTTCAGAATGAAGGTCACAAAAAACATAGGCAAGCTAATTTACTGGAGGGGAGGAACTGGAAATGGGCCCACTGGATTAATAAAAAATTCAGAAATGAAAACAAACAATTTCACAGAAAAAACAAATTCAGGTTTTTAGAGAAAGAAAAGCAGTACCAGAGGTTTTCAGTGTCAAGTCTTTAAAAAAAGATATTTCAACTTACCCAAAGAGTTCCCTTGCTGCTGCCAAAATTGTGGATGTTTTTCCAGTTCCAGGTGGCCCATAAAACAGGAGGTTGGGGAGCTGTAGAAATTAATTTTTTTTTTTAAATTTTACTCTGGCACAAATAAAGGAAGACTGAAAATGTCTGGAACACTGCAATAATTTCTGCAATAGAGAGGTACATATCCTATATAATAAACAGCTAATATGCTAATTAGACTGAATAGCAGACGAAGCCGGGACTGCGAGGGCCAGCTGAGGCTGCCAGGGCTGAGGCCCTTGGACGAATTTGTGCATCAAGTCTCTAGTATCTTAATAAACAGGTTTCTTAATATAACTGGTATCATAGTATTCACAGTTCTAAATCCAGCTTTTCCATATACTACTACTAGTGACCTGGAACATGGATTTGTGCACGTCGAAAAAGAAATAAATTAGAAGGTGGCCAGTAGAGCAGGACTGGGTGAGACAGGCTAACATGCCCTGTAGCCAATCTCCTGTGGTCCCTCCCTGGTGGCTGTGGAGTGAGCAGGGTCCCTCTGGCAGGTGGGGTCGCTCAGCCTGGCATGCAGGAATTGGGCTAAAACCGGCTCTCAGATATCCCCTGAGGGGCCCTGGAGTATCAGAGGACACTCTGCAAAGTTGCTGTTATACAGGGTGTGGAATGCAAATGCAAGTGGCAAGTGTGCAATAAACCAGATTAGGGGCCAACAGTGTCCCAGCAACAACATAACCCATGGCTGAAAGTGGAATTGCTTGGCCCTGGAGGAACTGGGCTTCTTCCTCTCTGGTTTTGGGGTGTGTCACCCGAGAACTGCTGCTGCCAAGTCACTGCAGCTCAGCACCTCCTGCACTGAGTGTCTGCCCCCCAGTAGTGAGTGTGCATCATAGTGACTGGTCGGAAGGGAGGAGGGACACTTAGCATATTAGATTTTTATGTATATACTAGAGGCCTGGTGCATGAAAGTCGTGCATGGGGCCAGGGAAGAGGGAGTTGTCCCTCAGCCCAGCCTGCATCCTCTCCAATCTGGGGCCCCTCAAGGGATGTCCGACTGCCCATTTAGACCCGATTCCGGTAGGATTGAGCCTAAACCGGCAGTCAGAAATACCTCTCACAATCCAGGATTGCTGGCTCCCAACTGCTCACCTGCCTGCCTTCCTGATTGCCCCTAACTGCTTCTGCCTGCCAGCCTGATCTCCCCCTAACCACTTCTATGCCAGCCTGTTTGCCCTCAACTTCCCTCCTCTGCCGGCCTGCTCATCCCCTAACTTCCCTCCCCTACAGGGTTGATCACCTCCAACTGTCCTTCCTTGCAGGCCTGGTGCCCCCAACTGCCCTCCCCTGCTGGCCATCTTGTGTCCAGATAGGGACAGGATCTTTGACCACATGGGGGCAGCTATTGTGTATTGAATTGATAGGTCAATCTGCATATTACTTTTTAAAAAAATATATTTTTATTGATTTTTTTACAGAGAGGAAGAGAGAAGGATAGAGAGCTAGAAACATTGATGAGAATCATCGATCAGCTGCCTCCTGCACACCCCCCACTGGGGATGTGCCCGCAACCAAGGTACATGCCCTTGACTGGAATCGAACCCGGAACCTTTCAGTCCGCAGGCCGACGCTCTATCCACTGAGCCAAGCCAGTTTCAGCCTGCATGTTACTCTTATTAGATAGGATTGAGGCCTGGTGCATAAGGGGGGCCAGATGGTTTGCCCTGAAAGGTGTCCCGGATCAGGGTGGGGGTCCCCTTGGAATGTGGGGTGGTCTGCGCGAGGGGTCTGAGGTGGTTTTCAGGCCAGCCACGCCCTCTGGCGACCCAAGCAGAGGCCCTGGTATCTGGAATTTATTTACCTTCTACAATTGAAACTTTGTAGCCTGGAGTGGAGCCAAGCCTCCTGTTCTCTCCATAACCAGCAGCCATTTCTGTTTGGATTTGTTTACCTTCTATAATTGAAACTTTATAGTCTTGAGTGGAGGCTTAGGCCGGCTAGGGCAGGCAGAAAGCTTGGCTTCTTCGGTTGCCTGGGAAACCCAAGCCTCCCTCCTGCTCTCTGTGGCTGAAGCCATCTTGGTTGTGTTTATTTGCATACTTGCTTTGATTGGCTGGTGGGTGTGGCTTGAGGGTGTAGCAGAGTGGTGGTTAATTTGCATGTTACTCTTTTACTAGATAGGATAGAAGATAGATGACTTCTTCCCAAATGTTTTTCTAATATCTTAAATTGAATCATATTTATGATTGTTCTATTCCTAATTTACGTAGGTGGAATTTTCAAAGCTGAAATTAGAAACATTTTCAGAATCCCAGGCTTTTGCCAGGTCCCTATCCCACCTCTTTGCAATATTTTATACTTTATAAAGATGTCAGTTATTTCAAAGTGGAAATAGAATGAACAAGTAATTGGATTTGGCCAATACTGAGGAAAAAACATATTAGGGGTTTGAATATTTCTGTTGCAAAAACAGAAATATTAAAAGAACTAAGTATCTATTAAATGCCAGGCGGTATTCCACATCATGATCATGTACTCTGTAATTGCAGCATTATTTATAATAGCCAAGACATGAAAACAACCTACATGTCCATCAACGGACACTGGATAAAGATGTGGTATACATGTAGAATGGAATATTTCGACCATTAAAAAATATATATACATATTGCCACTTGCGACAACATGGATGAATCTTGAGAGCATAAGTGAAGTAAGACAGATGGAAAAGGACAAAAACTATTTGATTTCACTCATGTGGAGTATAAAACAAAAAGTTACAAACTAACAAAACAAACTCACAGATACAGACAACAGAATGGTAGTTACCAGTGTCAGGGAAATGACAAATTGGATCAAAAGGGTCAAATATATGATAATGGAAGAAAACTAGATTGGGTGGTAGGCATGCAATACAGTACATTAAATGTTGTACACCTGGAATTTATAGGATGTTATTAATCAATCTTACCTCAATAAGTTTAATTAAGATACACACACAACAGAATTTTATTCAGCCATAAAATACTAGGAAATCCTGCCATTTGCAACAATATAGATGGGACCATGAGGGCATCATGCTAAATGAAATAAGTCAGAGAAAGACAAATACTATATGATTTCATATGTGGAATAAAAAATACTAATAAAAAGAGAGGCCGAGGATTGGGAGAGGAGAAACTATCAAAAGTTACAAACTTCCAGTTATAAAATAAGTAATGAACAACATGATCATTGCTGTATGATATATATGAAAGTTGTTAAGAGAGTAGTTCTTAAGAGTTCTCATCACAAGGAAAAAATTATTTTTTTTTCTGAATCTACATAACATGATGATGTTAACCAAACTTATTCCAATGATCATTTCACAATACATGTAAGTCAAATCATTATGCTGCACACCTTAAATTTATACAGTGATGTATATCAATTATATCTCAATAAACCTGGGAGAAAAAAAGAATTCTATGTCAAATCAGTTCTTAAAATTGATTTCTGAAAAAAATAACAGAACAAACAAAACAACTCCTAATTCTACCTTAAAACTTTTTAAAGCAAATGAAGGAATTATTTTCCTGTATTCTTTTAGAATTAAAAAAAACACAACTTCATCTTTAAGTTTTACCAAATTTAGTCTGAAAAGAAACACAAGTGGTTCAAGTTCTCAATTCAGCCTCATAAATTAGATAGTATAAAGAACTGAATCATGCCGTATCTGGTTTGGCTCAGTGGATAGAGCGTCGGCCTGCAGACTCAAAGGTCCCAGGTTCGATTCCGGTCAAGGGCATGTTGCGGGCATATCCCCAGTGGGAGGTGTGCAAGAGGCAGCTGATTGATGTTTCTCTCTCATCCATGTTTCTAACTCTCTAACCCTCTCTGTAAAAAACAAAAAATCAATAAAAAATATATTAAAAAAACCCCAAAAAACTGAATTATAATCCCACTAGATTTGCTTCAAGTTGAGAATACTAGCAATTAAAATATACTTTGTCCTAAAATCTATGTAAATATTACTAAGCAATTATAGTTGTATACTATTATATAATTAAAAGGTAAATATTTGGATCATATCAAAACAAATCCTGGTGAAGAAAAATATTTTATGTATTTTTATTATTGTTGTTAATTCTCACTCAGGGATATTTTTCCCATTGATTTTTAGAGAGAGTGGAAGGGACAGGGATGGGAGAGGGGGTGAGGGAAGACAGAGAAAAACATTAATGTGAGAGAGACATATTGATCACTTGCCTCCCACACGCTGCTCCCTGACTGGGATCGGGATCAAATGTGTAACCCAGGTACCTGTCCTTGACCAAGAATCAAATCCACGACCCTTCAGTGTGTTGGCTGCTGCTCTAACCTCTGAACAGAGGTTAGAAAAATATTTTGAATAGTTTTATAAATATAACTTCTTTCAAAATATGCACTGTTGTACTGTAATTCCAGGAAGAGAACATGGAAGCAAAAAACAAAAGAATCTCTACTTCAAAGCAGCCAGATTAAGAGGAAGAAAGCCAATCTTGGGAATAAAGCAAAAACTAAATACCACTTTCATCTGTAACTTTTTCTCTTCCTTCACTGAGTTCTTAAAGCACTTTATCATATGAAATTTTAAACTACTAATTTTTAAAAATTAAGTATTTATTATTGAAAGTATTACAAATGTCCCTAAACTGTTAATTCTTTATATAGGTTTAGTTTGTCTCTGAATAACCTAAAGCAGCGGTAACCAACTTTTTGGACCTCACGGACCACTGACTGGTGACTGCTGATCTAAATTACAAGTCACTCAAGGACATTTTATCCCACTCATCACAGTAGGCGACACAATGCTATAAGCAGAATTAAAGACTCATTTTTCTTTTTTTTTGTACTGTAGTTCAAACCAAATCCTAAAATTAGGTGAAAAATTATACTTTCTTTTTCAGTTATAGTTAACTTTCAATATTATTTTATATTGGTTTCAGGTGTACAGCATCATGGTTTGACATTTATATAACTTAAGAAGTGATCCCTCTCCAATAAGTTTAGTACCCATCTGGTACCATACAAAATTATTGACTATATTCCTTATGCTGTACAAAATTGCCTTGAGACAATTTTATAACTACCAGAGAAATTATACTTTCAAAGAATCTCTTGACTCTTCTTTACAGCACGTATCGTTATCTAGAATTCCCTTACTTATTTGGTTTCTATGTTTACTCTGTTGTTTCCCACCAAAATAAAAGTTCACAAGCAAAGAGGCCCAGACTGTCTTGCTCAATGGTCTATACTTGAGTACTATATAACAATGCCAGACGACAGAATTGGAGATGCTCAATAAATACTTGTTGAACTAATCATCCATTGCACAAATAGTCATCATGGGCCCACTGTATACGTATCATAGTATTTAAAGGGGGTAGGGTAATAAAGAAAGAGGGTGAATCTCCCAATGACATTAAACATCATCTGCTACTCACATCAGCTCCTTCTAAAGACTTTTTCAGCACTGCAACCACTTCTTCCTGGAAAGCAACTTCATCCACACATTTTGGACGACTGTAAAAAACAACAACAAAGGTTATTTTGTATATTATAGTAGGCACAGAGAAGTTTTCAAGTATTCTTTTTGCTAAAATACTGATAATTCTCATATTGGTAATGAGAAACTTTCATAACTGGAAGTAGTTAGAAACCCCATTTGTGCCTTAAACAAATATACTAAAGGACTGAAGTAATTTTTCACTGTTCAGAGACATAATTTGCATGTATGCTTACAAAAATTAAGTAAAAGGATTTTATTACACCATAAATGCCAAGTGCTTAAAAAATTTAAAGGGAACACTTGCCTAGAAAGTAATATGATATACATGTATATATATTTATCCTCATGTAAAAATATGCTTCTTATTGATTTTTCTAGAGATAGGAAGGGAGGGAGGAGAGAGGGGAGGAGAAGAGGAAAGAGAGAGAAGGAAACATCAATGTGAGAAACAGTGGTTGCCTCCTATATGTGTTCCGACCAGAGACTGAACCCACAACCTAGGTATGTGCTCTGAATGGGAATCAAAACTATAACATTTTGGCACTCGGGATAATGCTCCAGTCAACTGAGCCAGGGCTTAAAGTATTATATTTTGACAAGATCATGCATTTCAGGTTAAAAGAGAGAACTATTTAGTAACCTCATGATAGGCAACTATTTTAGTTAATACATCTATATAAATATAGTTATTACATTGTTAATTGGTTAATATCAATTTTTTCCATTACTCATCTGCACAAAAAATGCATATCTATTTACTTCACTAAGGGTTAAAAAAATAAGTTTAATCAATATGAAGTATAACATATGATTTTCTTCTTAAATCATTAACTAGTGATTTTAAGAGCTCGAACAGTTATACTTCCAACCCTAAGATTAGGCTTTGTGCTTAGTTTACTAATCAGAAACTTTCTAAGTCATATTTTTCAAAGTACTCGGGTCAGTGCCAGGCAGGAATTTCATGTTAGATAATGTTTTCTAGAAAAAAAACCAGTGTATGTTATAAACCAGTTATTCAAACACTTGCAGAGGCCAGGTAGACAACAAGAGTGAAGAAAGCAGAGTATAAGGCAAGAGAAAATAAGGACTATGATGAATTGAGGAACACACAACCTTTCCAAAATGAGAAGCAGTATCTAATCAGGCGTCTTCAAACTATGGCCCTCGGGCCACATGCAGCCCGCAGAGGAGTCTGATCCGGCCCGCCAGGTTTTTTGGGCAGTGAGTGCAGCCGAGGTGTTACAGTAGGAATTAGTAGTTCATATAGTCCGGCCCTCCAGCTCTCTGAGGGACCGTGATCTGGCCCCCACTTTAAAAAGTTTGAGGACCCCTGATAAGTCCATCTAACTGCTGTCAAGTGAGAATTTGCATCTAGTGGCTGCCTAATCTACTGAGGAGTTGAAAATCTAGATTTTTTTTCTCCCCTTGCATAATTTATTTTTTAATTTAAAAAAAATCTAGATTTTTATGTGAAACTTTCCATTTTTAAGAATTGTTGGTGCCAAATAAAACATGAGGGCCTTTTTGGCCTATAAGTAATCTGCAAAGTCTTGGTAATAACTGAAGCTACACTTGGAGTAACAACTACTATTTGTTATACTACTACTTAGCTGATTGAAATTTAAGTGGGACTTCAAGTGTTGTTTTTGCCCAAAACAATTTCCACCTATCAGTAATGAAAGGGGAACAGATTACTTGGACTTAGTAGAACTCCTGATCAAAAGCCGGCTTATAAAAAAAAATGTTTTCTTCAATGCTGTATGTATCCCGACCCCTAAAACCATAGACCTGAGATACACAGAAGATTTTAGTTCATAAATAAAAGACTTTAGTTCATAAATAAGGGAATTAAATTAGATCATTCTAAGGTACCTTTCAGTACCAAGGTTCTATGACTTACATCCTTGGCTGATTTTTAAGGACAACATCTAAACCAAGCAAATCATCCCCCATTAAGAAAGAAAAAAAAGGGGGGGGCGGTGGAGGGATTATAACTGGTTAGAGATGTAATTTATTAACAATTTCAACAAAAACACAAGAGTTCTTACTATTTTTCCACCCATGGAACAGGCTTGGCTTTCTTGTTCTCTCCACTACTTCCGGCAGCGGCAGCTACTCCTCGATCCTTGATCAATGGTGGTTTAGTACTGATAGATGTGCCTTTTAAAAATGCCTGCATGGTTACTTCACCCTGACCAGGTGCAAGACAGAAAAAGAAAAGCTCTTTTGAAACCATTATGAAGAAAAGGGCACTTAACCTTGTGCAAAGATATTCAATAATTACTTATTTAATAAAGAACATCACCCCATGACCTAGCACTCTCTGAATGCATTGTGCTGAAGGCTGCAGGGACATAAAAGAGGTCAAAGTGCTTAGAGATATCAGAATGTATTTACAGTGAGGAAGTTACAGAATAAAGACAAATCTTATGTCAGAAAAATTTGAGTTCCAAACTTTTTGATAAAGGTGATATCATTAATGACCAAACTGTACATGGACCTCTATAGCCTCTTCTCTTTCAATCATGGGCCTAGTTCTAATCAGACTCTGGAATGGGTTCAGCAATTAGGAGTGCTGAGACCACAAATGAGAACCTCCACTTTGGGGAGTGGGGGGAGGTGGAGGATGTGGGGGGAGAAGTTAGAGTTCCACTCAGGGATCTGTTTTACTGGCAGCGCCAATTACTGGCTTCAGAGGCTTCTTCTTCTTTTTTTTAACATTCATTTCAGAGAAGAAGGGAGAGGGAGATAGAAATATCAATGATGAAAGAGAATCATTGATTGGCTGCCTCGTGTATGCCCGCCCCCACTGGGGATCAAGCCTGCAACCAGGGCATGTGCCCTTGACTGGAATTGAACCCAGGACCCTTCAGTCTGCAGGCCAACGCTCTATCCACTGAGCCAAATCAACTAAGACTCAGAGGCTTTTTTCGGAGGGGAGAGTCCTACCATCCTAGAGTTTGTTATTAAAATGGAAGTAGCTGTTTTTGCTCATTTGAAGAGAGCAAAACATTGCTGAAAAGCCAGAGTAAAAATTCATGCAAAATCTCACCCTTAAGATAACCACTATTAACATTGAAATAAACATAAATACGTTTTTTAGGGATAGAAAGGCATCACTAGCTTGCCTGAAAATTCCCTTTCGTTAGTGGCAATTCTATAGTTGTCACTGCTATATCCCCAAAGCCTTGTGCACTGACTGGTCCATGACCCATGCTCCATAATATCTGATGACTGCATTACCATTTGAGACACAGGTTCCCCTCCTGCAAAGGGAGCTAAGGCCTATCCCATAATTGACCTAAATCAAAGAACTGTGCAAACACATAGTTCTGTGCTTGGCATACGCATATATACTCAAACAAAATACAATGTAAATATCTGTGAGCAGCTAAGGTTTTTAATTTAAGGTGTTGAATTCCTCCATCCCTGCCACAGGCTGCTCAATAGCAATACATCTCAGAGCACGACTCTGAAAGATGCTGTATGCACTGTGCTTTCATGTCCCCAAGGGGTGGGAGGTAGCCAGGCCGGATGGCGGTCCAGCCCCGGGCTGGTGCGGAAAGCGGCCCAGGAGCATCACAGGGCAGGAGCGGAGGGAGGAGAAGGCAGACTTCGCCCGCTCTTCAGCTGGTCACCTGTTATCCCCCGCTCTCCGCGCGTGTTCCCGGGCCACGCCGGGGCCTCCCAGCCGCCGACTCCGGAGCGAGGACGCTGCCGAGCGGCTCGTTCCTGGGGTTCCCGGACGGGGAGGGGGCGAGGCGGTGTCGCAGTCTCAGCTCCGTTCCTCAACCTGAAAATACGAGGCTCAGGGAGCCCCGAGCGGCCTGAAAAGGCGACTGATGTGCTACGGCCGGTTCAGCCGCCTCAGTTCCCGCCAAGGAAGGGCGGGCGCAGGGCAGGCCGGGAATCCGCAGGGAACGTCACTTCCGGCCCACCAGCTCCGGCCGCCGGTTAAAGGAGCCGTTTTCCACTTCCGGTCCGCCAGCTGCCGCCCCAGGTTAAAGGAGCCGTTTCCTTCCGGGGAGGCACACATGCTTTTAGGGATGCGTAGGTGGAACACGAGTGACTGAAGAGGTGGACATATAGTCTCATCCTGTCCGCGTGCAGTCCTCCCACTGGGGACTGACGTCTGGGGTCTCCGACCGCGACCGACTGCGGGAGACCTGGTGCCGGACCCCGCCTGCTCTGCGCCTGGGATGGGGGTGGGGGAGGCGTTGGTCGCCGCTCGCCAACCACTGGCGGTGGGAGAGGGGTTACGGGCCTCGGGAATCCCGCGATCCACCCAAAATCATAAGAGACCCCCCCTCCAATTTCAGGCCCTCTCCACCTGCATGGCCTGTACGTCACTGTGAACTTAATGCCAACGGAGCGTCTCGCTGGCATTTCCGAACGGACACAATTCTGCTTTCGAGCTGCTTTTCCCTTGGAGGACGGCAATGGGGGAGGGTGGAGTCGGTTTTTGGCCAGAAGAGGGTTCCCTGAGGCTCCCTATTCCTCCCCACTTTGGCCTCCCTTCGGCTTGTCACCACGGAGTAAACCGAGTGTGTTTTAAGGATAGAAATGACTTTCCTCACCCCCTACCCCCTATTTAAAAAAAATTTTTTTTTATTTTACTTTTTTAAATCCTCACCCTAAGATATTTTTCCACTGGTTTTTGGAGAGACGAAAAGACGGAGAGAAATATCCTCACATCAATTGGTTGCCTCTTGCATGCCCCTAACCAGGGGCCAGCGGGAGAGGAGCCTGCAACCAAAGTGCATGCCCTTGATTGGAATTGAACTCAAGACACTTTGGTCCAAAGGCTGGTTAGGGCTGATATATTGGGATATATATTTCAGAGAGAGAGAGAAATCAATGAGAGAACCATTGCTGGGCTTCACCTTGCATATCCCCTAGTGGGGCTCTAGCTGAAAAACGGGCATGTGCCCTGACTGGGAATCTAACCTAATTGTGATTTCTGATTCATAGGTCAATGCTCAACCACGGAGCCACACCAGCTGGGCTATCCTTTACTGATTTGAGAGAGAGAGAGAGAAACACCCATCCGCTGCCTCCTGCACCCTGACCAGATGAAGCCCACAACTTGGGGCATGCGCCCTGACCAGGACTCCAACAGGCAAACTTTTGGCAACGCCCAACCAACTGAGGCCAGTTGGCCAAGGCCCCTACCCCTTTTGAGTGCATATGGCTTATACCTTTATTAGTGTCTGCTCCTTGGTGAGAGGGAAGACCCTGCCATGTAGCTATGGTCATCTTCTAGTCGTGGAGCCCTGCCCAGAAATCTGGTGGTGCAGACACTCTGTAAAAGTTACCTGATTCGCCGAAACCGGTTTGGCTCAGTGGTAGAGTGTTGGTCTGCGGACTGAAAGGTCCCGGGTTCGATTCCAGTCAAGGGCATGTACCTTGGTTGCGGGCACATCCCCGGTGGGTGTTGTGCAGGAGGCAGCTGGTCGATGTTTCTCTCTCATCGACGTTTCTAGCTCTCTGTCCCTCTCCCTTCCTCTCTGTAAAAAAAATCAATAAAATATATTAAAAAAAAAAAAAGTTACCTGATTCATGATAATGTTTAACCCCATCAGGTACTGTGGGCTCTAGATTTCTACTGCCCTTGCATCACAGTACAAATTCTGGCCGATCCTGCCTCCCTGACCTCTCTCAGGTATTGGCTTCTAGAGTACCACCCAATAAAAAACCCACATGAAAATCTCAGAATCTGTTTCCTAAGGAATTCAACCAATGAGAGTTGGTACAAAAAGTGGTCCTGGAAAAAGACTCTAAGGTGAAAGTTTGAAGTTGGGTCACCTGCCAGCCTGTTGGTAATGAGAACTCTGGTGGCAGCGGAGCACTGAGAGCCCCTGGAATGCTGTGGCAATTGTTAAACTTGCAGCAGTGGCAAACCAGAATGGGGTGCCTGTCGAAGGGAGTGCACCAACAGATGCAGTATTTCAGGGCCTTTAGGAAATAGTAATTGTAAAAATTTTGGAACTGCATGGCCATTCGTGTGTGTGTTTGGGAGGAGAACTCATTAATTCAGAATGAAAGAAACATTATTAAAGAAAGATAATGAAAAAACAGGATGATTAATTGCCAGTATCAGACCAAGTGTGGAAGCCAGAGGGTATTTTTTGGCTGCATATAAATGATTTACATATCCTGTAGCCAGAGGGCAAACAAAGTCTTTGGGCCAAAATCTAAATTATATGATTGGCAGAGTTCCAGAAGAGTTAAATTCTCAACTCCACCATGTCTGTTATACCAAGGTCAAGGCCCTGATTGGTGGGGTATGGTTGGGGAGAAGGCTGAGACTTAAAATGGGTCATCTGGGTCAATGCATTTGAAAATCTTACATTCCCTGAACCCTATTGACCCTTAAGAGTAACCCATTCTTTTCTGCTAACTGCTAATGGTTCTCTCTTGGGGATGTATGTATAAGTTTGATGATATAAAAGTTTTTCCCTTCCAAGACAATACATATCTCCCCTTATTTCCCAATCTCCACTCCCAACCACCGTCAGCCAGAGTGATAGCCAGGATTAAGCCACAGGATAGCCAGGATTAAGGTACAGTGCAGCCCCACAGGAGAAATGCTGGGCCGGCTAAAGGTAGTAAAGGACTATGTGTTGAAGGAAATGCAGGACTGGGCAATATAAGCTGGCAAAGCAGGAGAGCATGTACAGGACTATGCTGGATGGAAGGGGACAGAACATAAAATTGGAAAAGGAAAAATAGACCTATGACACTGGATTTAGTACCTTGGCAAAGACCCCAGGTGATAGTATTTGGTTGGCCCTTGGAACCTTGGAAAAAGAAATGATCCTCATTAAGCAAAGTGGAAATGACAGAACTATGGTGGCAAACACTGGAGGGAGATATAAAAAGACCCAGAGAAATGGGATATACCATGTAAAGAAAAAAAAACCATTAGGCCACTATTGGGATCTATTCTTAGGATACAGGATTCTAGTCCAATGTGATAAGCAATGTGCAAATGAGAGGTCTTTAGCATTGTTAAGAAACTCAATGTTGGATTGTTCTCTATAGAACAAGGCTGAGGTAGAAGCTGCTGGAACATAACAAGACAGAGCTCCTAGCACGGTGCCTCGCTCACATGCATCATGGTACTCTCCAGTGTTCCTCTAAAGGAAGAGGAGACAGCTCCAGGCTCAGGCCCTCAATGTACAAGAGGTTCTTTAAGGCAGTTACAGTACCCAGTCAAAATGACCCTGTTAATATACTTAAAATTGCCCTAAAGCCCTGACTGTTTTGGCTCAGTGGGTAGAATGTTGGCCTGTGGGTTGAAGGGTCCTGAGTTCGATTCCAGTCAAGGGCACATGCCCTGGATGCGGGCTCCATTCCCAGTAGGGGTGTGCAGGAGGCAGCCAATCAATGATTCTCTCTAATCATTGATGTTTCTATCTCCTTTCCTCTCTGAAATCAATAAAAACATATTTAAAAAATTTCTTTAAAATTTGCATATGGAACATTTACCTTCCTTTTCCATTAGGTGAAAGGAACATATGGAAGGAACCAAAACAAAAATATAGTTGACCATTTAAAATCTGTGTAGTAAGAGCTGCCTCTGAACTAACAGGATCTAGAGTGGTTCCATTCTACCATCTAGTGGACAAGAAGGGAAGAGAGAAATTTAGAGCAAAATAGTTAATCTTCGGTTTTGTTGTCAACATCTGTATTTACCAAACATGTGTTTTCTGATGAGTATTGGGGTCCAGTGGATGAACATGCACGGTTGAGGTCTGGCCCGCCTGCTCCGATGGGGACCCATCAGGCCAGGTTGGCAAAGGGAAGGGGTCATGGGAGGTTAGCTGGCCAGCTCCATCACAATCAGGCTGGTGGGGGGTCAATTGGGGGCGGAGCTGGCTAGGGGAGGGGCAGGGGAAGTTGGCTAGTAGGTCCCCAGATCGGGCAGTTGGCCAAGTAGCCCAGGGACCACTGGGAAAGACAGTGTGAGGGCACACACAGAGTGGGATGTGGGTATTACAGAGCAAATGCTCTTGAAGAGACATCATGACAGGCCTCTTTGTGACCTCCCACCACTGCCTCACCTTCTTTCTCTGTTCTTCCTTTTCCATATTACCTCTTCTCCTTCTGATTTTCTTTCTTATCTTCCCCTCTCCTCTATCCTTGCCTAGAATGGTGCTTTTAAATAACACAGTGCAAACTATAAAAGGGCATCACTCATAGTGAGCGTTGTATTCTGTAAAACTTGTTTAAATGTGCACCTGCATGTGTGTATACACTGGGTCATGATGCATTTTAAGACATTAGGAAAACCCTGCTCCTTCACCCTTACCAATGGCACGATAAGCTGAGGAGGCCATGTGCACTGACAGTCCCTAGCAGGGAAGTGGCATCTGAGTCTTGGCAGTGCTGGGAGAATCCTTCCTCTTTCCAAGTTCAGAAAAACCCTCACCTGGAGGTGGGGAGTGACTCAGGTGACCCTAAAATAATGCAGTCAATTGGACAAGTGCGTGAGAGCCCCTCTAAACTTGCTCTTCCTAGAGTTCTTCAGCTCATTTATGGCTTTCTCATTGGTCCACCTACTCCTTCCCATGCACCCTTGAAGGTAAGTCCCACCTTCCTCCACTTTTTGTTGCTGTTTCTTAAACATCTGTAGGGAAGGAGGGGGATTGAGACCAGCCAGCTGTGACTTGAGATGAGGTCAGGTGTGACTCAAAGGTGAGGGCAGCTGCAGAGGAGACACAGGAGAGCCACTGCAGGGTCTTGGAGGTTCTGCAGAGCAACTTCTTTAGGCTCCTGCATAATCAGCCCTGACCTCCTCTTTCTGCACTCAGCAACCGTTGAAGGGTGGTGAGGATGTTCTTCCCAAAGGTGGGAACCTGCTTTAGACCCAACCCAAGTATGTGAATCCACAGATTGGG